CTTTTTTGCTCCCTAAAGACCTCCAGCCAGCAGCACATCACTGCTGAGCACCCACTGGAAAGACATGTTCACCCAATGCCAGCCCAGCAGCTGGAAGCAGCCCCCGGGTGTCTCATGTCACCCACTCCCCTGCCTGCCACCAGCAGCAAGGAGGGGGAACCCCAGACACAGTCATTTCTGTGTCTATCAGGAAACACATGCAAATGCAAGAGCTGGAGAGCATCACTCGGGAAAGCCCCCACCCAGCAGCCTCACAGGGACCTCAGCCAGCCCTCAGCCCCCAGCTGTGCCAGGGGTGCTGGCAAGGCTCAGCACTAAGGGCACGCAGAGCCTGGCACTGCGGGAGGAGTGTGCAGCCACACGCAGCAGCTGGAAAACCCTGCAAATGGAAAATCCCAGGGGAAAGAGGAAAAAAACACCCTAACAAACCTGGATACCACCTAACACCTGAATAACAGGCTGTCCCATGCCATATAAGGACAGAGAACAAACCTTTTGCCCTGGTTTTGGCCTCTAGCCTTCCAGTGATGGAGCCAACTTGCTTTGTGCCAGACTAACAGTGTCAGGTCCACACAGGATTTTGGCACTGCTCTCCAGACAGGCACAAGTTTGTACAGTTGCAAAATGGAAATAGCTCTCAAAACCAAGAATCCTTTACTCACCCCAGCAGCAGAGCAACTCAGCCGCTTCCCCTCAGGTACCTGGTTTCATCTTTTGGAGGTTACCCTTGTGTACATAGCCACAACCTGAGCAAAAGCAGGACACAGAGAAGTGAGCAGACCCTGAGCCAGGTCCCAAACAGGGGCAGCTGGCTAGGCTGATGTCTTTACAGCAATACCAGCTACACCAGCAAGTCTTGCTTATCCCCAGCCTCCAACACCTCACCCTTCAGGGCTGCTTTCCCTTCATTAATATCTGGGTCCCACTTAACCTTTTATGCCCTTGATGGGTGCTAACGGGACCCACCTGCAGGTGCTTTGGCCATGCTTCTTGGTTGGGTTGATAGCCCCCCATCACTTGTGGTCACTGACTTTGCATTGTAGTAAATAGCACGTAGCAGGAAGGCCATCAGTTGTGGTCACCAAATCTGCACCCTAGTAAGTAACATGGGTCTGGAAGGCCACATGCAGCACAGCACAAACCTCGGGGCTAATATGTACTTTCAGTATGAGTGGGTTTGAGCCTGGTGTTTACTTGTCCTCCCAACAACCTTGGATTGGAGCAGACTCGGGAAGCTAAAGCCCTGGGTGGAGTCTTGCTAGGTACACGGTGTGTAGGTGTCTGTCATGAGCACAGTTGCTGGGCAAGGGAAAGGATAAGAAACAGGTTTAGATGAGGTTTGATGCATAGTGGCTTCTAAGGACTCTAAACAGTCACACACCATGATCTTTTCTCCTTCCCCATCACACCGCAACTCATCTGCTGGGGAGTGGGGTCTCAGGGCTGCACTGAAGCACCATTTCCAATTGACTCTTGGTGCCCTTTTTGCTGCCCTAGAGCCAGACAGAGGAAAAAACCCAGGTGGTATCTGGGCAAACTAGATTTGCCTACGTATGATCTGGATGTAATGTTCTTTTTTCAATTCAATGGCTTAACACATCCTTGAGGCCCTGCTAGTCTGATACCGGGGGTGACTAATGCAGGATAGTCCCTAAGCTTGAGTATACCCACCGCCTTTCAAACTGCTGATTACAAAAGAAAGGCAAAAGCTTTGAGACAAGGGGATTACCCGAGATGCGTCTAATCTGGAGCTGTGTCTGTTTGTCATGTGATAACTGGTACACTGCATCCCCTGGGGATTGCATGTTGTGGGGGATATTACGCATGGCTCGTGCTGAGTCCTGATTTGAGTTGGCCATGTACACCCCTTGGCTGTGGGGACCCATCTGTGGGTGCTGTATGGAGGCCCATGTGGTGCTCTGCGGTACACACTGCCACTTTCTCTGTACGCTTTGTAACCTTTTGGGGTGTCAGTGTCCATGCGCTGGCATTTTGGAAGCCCAAAGGATTTGTCCACATCTCCCCATGCCTGCTCAGCGCAGCACACAATGGCTGTTGTTTGCCTTCGGGGCGGGTGAGCAGCCTCTGGCTTGGGAGGAACAAAGCCTGGAGCCAGTTCCTGCAAACACAAAACATGCCTTTTTATCACTTCATGACAAATTGTTTTGTCAGCAGCAGGAAGTGATGTTACCACCGTCCTCACCAAGGGGAAACTCCTCATGGTTTCCATGGGGACGTATGCAACTGTAGAACTATGGGTTTATATAAGCTGAAAGCCCTTCACATGCCTGCTGTGTGCTGGGTTTCGAGGGGTCTTGGATCAGATACAAGGGGCAGGGTCTCAGCCAAGCCCTGCTAACGTGGAGGGACAGCCAGCTCATGTGGGAGCTGGGGGAAACAGGAGTTCAGAGCTGTAAACCAGGGTGAACTCTGTGTCTTGATATCCTAAACAAACAAAACCGTAAAGCAGGGAGAATAAACGAGGGGTAAGAAGGGACAATGCCTCCCTAACACATCCACAGCAGGCAAAGTTCAGCTTGTCTATATCATCAAGGTGTCCTCCACCTTCACCACACACAGACTATGCCCATCTCAGCCCCTTGTGCCTCCTTGCCTGGCTCATACCTCCTCAGCCCCTCACCTTGCTGGCTGTCCTGCTCCTTCCCCTGGCTCCCAGCAAACCTCCCAGCTGAGCCCATCCATCCCCCCAAACCTGTGGCACTAAGGTGACATTTGCAGATCTCAATCTAATCTTTTTACTCCTCACTGTTGTTCCTGCTCCCTTATCCTCCCCTTGTTTGGACCAGAAGCAGTTCGGGATCTGGGTGCAACCCTGACCACAGACACTTTGCAGGATTCTGTGAGCTCTGGGCACCATGAGACTGATTACAGGCGACAGAAGAAGGATCAGCATAAAGACTTGGAAAGGACATCACACATCCACAGAGCTGGCAGCGTGTGTTGGTGCCTCGCTGGGACCGAAGCCCTGCTGTCGCTGCCTGGCTTTTCCGCTACGGGCTTTGTGCTGAAGCAGCTCTCTCGTGTGCCCCTCTGTCAGGTGCCTGCTTAGGTTATGAAAGCTGATCAGCTGCCAGGTAATGAGTTTTATTGTTCCAAGAAACACATAAACAAGCTCCCCTGGCTGACAGGGAGCGGATTTCTGTTTGAATTGTGATTAACAGGCAGGATTTTTTTCACCAGTTGCATGACCAGGGCTGCCAAGGTTGTATTTTTCCACTGAACAAGCTCTGCTTTGCTTTGAAGGTGAAAGTTTGCCCCATTGTTACTGCAGGTGTAAAAGGGCTCACGTATTCACAAACAGCCTTGCATGCTTTACAGGGAGACCAGTGGTAGGTGCAATCCTACTGAGCAGCACAACCTGCCCAGGCACTTTCCATGGACAAAGGGGTTTTGCAGGATCTGCAGCATGGGACAGACTTTGGGGAGGATGTTCACTTTGATGCTTTAGGAAAATAAGGGTTTCTAACTTTGTCTCTTAGCGCCCAGGGATCTCTCCCCCTTTTAGCTGCTCCATTTTTTATCCCTTGGTGTCAGGTTGAAGCTTGGCAATGGCTGACGCGCAGCACTGACGACAGAGCTGCATCGGAGGGGCAGCTCACGTGGAAGAGTTTCAGACGCAGCAGCGCATCATCCCCTCCTTCAAGGGCACCTTCTCCCAGGAGAAGAGTCCTGGATTTTAGCACCATTAATACCCCAAGTAACTTGGAAGATTTCAGCAGG